ACGCTCTATCCACTGAGCCAAACCGGCTTCGGCTAAACATCAGTTTTAAAAAAGGTACCATCTTGAAAAGTTTGAGAAATCTAAAGTGAGGATTTTGCTAATGAGAAGAAAGAGGGTCAATTACCTCGAAAACGTTTAACCACCAGGCAAAGGGCTCATTGCAAAGAGAAGCGTGGAAGTGTTTGAAAGAGAAATCAGAGGTGTTTTTTTTGTTGTTTTGTTTTGTTTGGTTTTTTTTTTCTAAAAATGGGATTTGATTAAACAAAAATTTTAACACCAAAATAAAAGGGAACCGTGGCGGTCACACACATGAAGAGGACTCAGTGTAGACGGCGCAGTCGGGTCAGCTCACAGCCTCTTTCCTGCTAGCAGAGCCCTCCTTCGTCTGCCAGGAGGCCCTGAGCACTGGTAAGTGAGGTGCTAGCGCTCTGCTCCAGTAACGGGGGTACATCAGAGCTTCACACACCAGGGGTTCTCCAAGCCACCTGGGGAGCATTTAGTTAGTTCAACACAGGCGCCTGCGCCCACACCCAGGAACTCCGATTTAATTCTGATGGGCCCGGGCTGGGGCCCCACCAAACTTCCCGGTGATTCTCCTCCCTAATCACTAACCCAGCTGGTCGCCCCGAGCTGGGTGAGTCTGAAGCTGGTTATCTGGCCCGTGTTAGCCTTTGAGTCTGACCTGCTCGCGCTGGTAGATGACCCTGGCCTGGATGGCTGATGGCACGGCCTGGGGAGCTGGCCCTCATTCTCTCGGCCTCAGAGGAGTTGGTTCTGCACCGAAACTCACAGCCGGGGGCAGAGCGGGGCGGTGGCCGGGGGGCATGTGTGCACGTGGGCTTTGGGGGGACAGGATAGAATCCCTGAGCTGAGCCCCTGGTGTCCACGGACTCCTCACTGTGCAGGTGTCCTCCCTGGGGCCCTGGGCCCTGGCGGCCCCTCCCGCAGTGGCCTCTGCACCAGGCAGCGTCTCTGGAAGCTTCCGTGCTGTTTGCCACGAAGGAAACTCCCGCGGACTCACTGTGTCTGTGGGCGTCTCACCGGCCACGGCTCATCGCCGCTGTGACAGCCAAGCAGGCCGGCGCCCCCGCTGGCCCCTCTCCTGCCTCACCCCCTCCCCTCTCAGGCCCGCGTACCCTGGTCTGTAGAGATGGGTCATAATTTATAGTTTCCTATAAAGCTGATGAGATGCTCAAATGCGATCATTTATGAAAGTGCTTTGTAAACTGTAAAATCACCAGGCAATGTTTTGTTCTCTTTGTGGGAATAACAGCGAACGGGGGAGGGAGGGAGCGCGAGCGAGGGTGACATCCCACACGCAGGAAACCCTGAATAATGTGAGCGCTGGGGGAGCCAGCGTCCCAGCCCACATTCCCATAAAAACCAAACCGGGAAGAAATAAGGAGAGAAGTTCAAGGTCATTGCTGAAAGCCATGCTTTCCTGCTAGCCCCGTGGGAGGCAAGGCTTTCACTTTAGTGTGGGAGCAGGAATGTAATTCCGTTTTCCCCAGTCAGAGCCCGTGGTGTGTTAGCATGATTCACAGGCTGTGACTCACATGAGCGTTCTCACGAGGAAGTTACCGACGGCTTCTATTCCTTAAGAAGGACATCAGACGGAGCCCAGGGATTGCATAACTGTTTCCAGTCTATACCGTGGGCTTATCTGACCTGATAATTTCAGGGAGAAAAACTTTCTCTTCTGCAAAGAAAACAGCCCCCCGTACTATCTGCAGTCACCAATTTTCAAAACGCCTGTGCGCACCGGCTCCCGGCCCCCGGGTGTACATTGTGCGTCATCTTTAAGGCTTGAGAAGCCTGGAGGCCTCCCTCCGCCCCAGGAGCTCGTCCACGTGTCTCTTCCAAACACGCACAGCGCTTTCCCAAAGAGCTGGGACAAAATAAATCCCATCTCATTGCACCCCGACCAGCAACACGACTTCTCTCTTTTTAAAATATATTTTTATTGATTTCAGAGAGGAAGGGAGAGGGGGAGAGAGAGAGAGAAACATCAGTGATGGGAGAGAATCATGGATCGGCTGCCTCCTGCACGCCCCCTACTGGGGGCTGAGCCCACAACCCCGGGCACGTGCCCTGACCGGGAATCGAACCCGGGCTCAGTCCCCACTAGGGGTGTGCAGGAGGCAGCTGATATTTAAAAATAAATAAAAATAAAAAATAGTTTTATTTATTTCAGAGAGGAAGGGAGAGAGATAGAGAGTTAGAAATATCGATGAGAGAGAAACATCGATCAGCTGTCTCCTGCACACCCCCTACTGGAGATGTGCCTGCAACCCAGGTACATGCCCTTGACCGGAATCGAACCTGGGACCCTTCAGTCCGCAGGCTGGCGCTCTATCCACTGAGCCAAACCGGTTTCGGCTAAAACTATTTTTTTTAAAAATGCCCCTACATTCTCATCAGTTTGGGTCTGAGCTGTGTTCCCCTGCGTGGAGTTGCCGATGGAGCATGGTTGCCTGGAGACGAGGGCCTGATAGAGCTTCCTTTTTCTTTTTTTTTTTTAGGGAAAGAAAGCATCGATGACTATAGAGCTGACACATGGTCGCCCTCCCCACAAGGACCTCAAAGGACCACCCCAGGCATCTCCACCCACAGGTCAGAGGGCACCCTTCCCACCCGCAGGTCATGACTCATTCTCTTTATGTTGTGTTTGCAGGATGGGTCGGGGGGTGGGGGCAGCAAACGGGGAAATAATCCTCCTTCTCCTCAAATATTTATTTAGTGGGTTTTTTTGTTTGTTTGTTTTTTTGCTATGTGCCATTTAAAAAATTATCTTTACGTTGAAAGCATTACGGATGTCCCCTCCCCCACCACTGACCCCTCCACTCCCCACGTGCTATTAAGTCCTTTCTACATAAAGGCCCATGTGCTGGGTGCTGACATATTACAAGGAGCCTCGGCTTTTTTTTTTTTTTTTTAAATATATTTTTATTGATTTTTTACAGAGAGGAAGGGAGAGGGATAGAGAGAAACA